CCTCACTCCCCAGTAATCAGATCCGGCCATTTTGCAAACTCACGGTACAGGATTCCTGCCAAGCGCTACGGAAGAACCCACAATGGAAGTGTGCTCTCCTAATGATGGATGGAAAAGCTGTTCTCGCATGGGCGGACTGCAGCTGTGCTCAGCATCTCCACCCAGGCCGCGCCTGCCCAGGCTTTCCCCCAGGAGAGCTTTCAGGTCCACCAACGGTGGATTCCTTGGAGTGAGATGCAGAACTCAAAATCATTTAAAACAGACTCCACGCTATCTTACAATGTCTTACAATGAAGCTCACCACTGAAAAGAAACTGTCTGAGAAAACTCTCCCAACACAGCCTCCCTCCCCAGACCGCAACCCCCCCACCCCCGAGCTGGCCCCAGTTACTAACCTCGGAGTCCACCAAGTGGAGCAGCTGTATGGATCCACTAGCATCTGCCAAGGCCAAGACGGCGTGGCCGGCCACTGGACTGTGGCACCTGAAGAGAGAACTCACATCTCAGTCAGAACACAGGACGTACCTGCGTACTGGAGGGCACCGCCATCCCAGCAATTTATCACTTCAATGTCAGCCCCCAAACTGGGTGACAGACAACGAATCTGTTCCCTAACAAGAGATTCCCCAGCTTATGAAATCAGAAACTGGCATTGCTTCCCAAGCTGATCCTTAGTCTAGGGCTAGAGAATGCTAACAAAGGGAATGAGCCCCAAGGCCCAACCCCATGAGCCAACAGGTGGTAGGACAGTAAGGAAATGAGCCTAAGTGCAGGTGTCTCCCCATCTTGTTGACTCCTCTAATTTAGTGAACAGCAAAATATGACAAATTTCAGACCAAATGCAGTGTTTATCAAAGTTGTACCATTTCATGTCCAGGACCGCAGACGTGTCTCTTCTTTGGACTTCAACCAGGGGCGAAGCAGGGCTCTCCTCACTGAAGCTGTACAGGTAGAGACGACCTAAACGGACTGGAGGCTCCCCGTCCAAGTCTGCTCCACTCTTCAAAATAAAGATGAGAAGTTCTCGGGCTACCTTCACAGAATCTGAGAAATCCAGGAAGCAGGGGAAAGCAAAGGCCTGAGCAGACTACAGCAGAACACAGCCCAGCCTGAAGCGGCAGCCCGGCCTCCTTGGACTGGAGAAGTGTCCTTCTTTTGACTACAGTTAATCAGATGACAGGAGCCACTCTCCCCCACCCAGCACTGAAGGTCGCTTCTAAATCCAACACAGGCCAGTGTTGGCTAGGGTGACACAGGCTGCAGTCTGCCTGGGGCCATCCTGATTCGGGTCTGTGGCTCTGGAGCCCCTTCTCACTTTCGGGAGCGCTCCGTTTGGGTCTTTATGGAGGCCTGCAAGAGCTTCTCTGTACCACAGACCTCACTCATGAGCTCGAGCCCCTCCTGTGTACAAGACTTCCTGCCTTCAAGACACCCCTATTTCTAACCTGTGTTTCGGCCACAAGGCCCATCCCCCCACCTTCCCATCCTGTGTGACTTCACAGATGGAAACTTCTTTTCCTCCAGCCCTCACTGTTGGAGACCAGAGAGCATCAGCTTTCCTGGTCGCCTCGCCTCTCTGGGGGCCCTTCGTTCCCTAGACCTCTCCAGCTCCAGCACGTTCTGGATGAGGCGCCTGACTCTCGGGGCTCACCCCACTAGAGAAACGCCACTTGGAGCGCGGGCTTGGAGAGCCCTGGTCGCGACGCCCGCGGCTGCGGCTGCCCGGGTGGAGGCGGCACCGCGCACCTTGTTCTCCCGGTCAGGGGTGTCCGCCAGCTTCCGCAGCTGGTAGGTGCCGCACGCCAGCAAGTGTCTGTAGCCTTCCAGCGGGCACCACTCCACCGAGTCCGCGGTGTACTCGGTGTCCACTGTCTGCAGCAGCCGGACGCGGGCTCCCGTCGCGAAGCCTTCGGCCGGGTGGCAATCAGCGGTCGGGCCCCCGGAAGCGGCCATGGCGACGGGACCAGGGCGGCGGAACCGAGCAGACGAAGCCATGCTGAGGGCCGGCAGTGGGGCCGAGGCCAGGCTGAGGGCTGGGTAACGGGGCTGGGGGTCGGGGCGGTAGGGCGAGCGAACGCGAACCCACGGAGGTGCGGCGCGGCAACACAAGTCAGCCAGCGTCCGCTACTTCCCGCAGCCGCCTCCTTTCCGACTCCTTCCGGGGCGCCAGGCGGGACTTCCGGCAGGGACGAGGCTTCCGGCCGTGCAAGTCTGGGCTCCTGCGCCCCCTGCCGGCCGTCAGCCCGGGACAGCAGGCGGTACCCGCACGTGTCGCCCTTGGCCCGACGGCGGCCCTCACTCGGCAGTTCGCCCACCGGCAGGCGGCAGCCGAATGTCCGGCAGGGACTCGCAGGGGGCTGCGTCCTGACGAAGGAGCGGGAGTTTCTGGACGAAGGACAGCAGAGGACTTGGGAGCCTCGGAGCAAGGAAGTCCAGGGCCGCCTGAGAGGTACTGGTCTCAGGGGTCCTTTCTGCCCCTTCTGATTCCACCCTTAGGGCAGCTGCCTCCGCGCCAGGCCCAGATGGGGAACACCCGGCTGCGGTGCTGGTAAGCTGGGGCAAGGAGGCAGGAGGGGACGTGAGAACATCGTGACTCAGGGGTGGACACCTGAGTAGAGGCCGGTTCGGGGAAGGGCTGGCCACAGCAAACCCTCAAGCTGTGCCCACCCAGCTGCAGCCCCTCAAGCACACACGGCCCGCACCAGCTCCAAGCCTGCGTTTTGGACAATTACCCGTGATTCACACTTCAAATACTGGTCAGGACTCGGAACTTCCATACCTGCTACACGGTGCTGAGAGCAGGAGCAGGTCATGAGGCCCTGGCAACTTCTCTCAATGTAACTTCAATAAATAACTGAGTAATTTGTTACAATTACCAAGGCCACCTGGCCTCCCCAAGGATGAGGGCAGAGACCAGTGTGCAGTCTGGGTGCTGCCTCCTCCCAGAAGCCTGTCTGAGAGCACACCACCCAGAACCCCAACAGTCCTCCCCAACTCCAGCCCCAGCAGGCCAGTGGAAGCTGGAAAGTCATCCCTACCCTGGGAACATCTCCAGGACTCAAGCC